TCCAACCCAAACCATTCTATGATACTATGAAATAGAAGAATCTTCTGCAGGAAACCTACCAGTAAGTGGCAGGAAAAGATGGCCTGTCTAAAAGCAGAAACACAAATCTTGCAGGTGTTTTTAGTTCATTATAACTCAAAACCAAAACAAACCCCAGAGAAAACCTCCAACACTGGACTGTTAACTTTTCTTTCTGTAGAGAAGTCTATAGTTAAGATAAACTAGAATTTCCATCCAATGGATTTTATTTTGATACTGTACTTTGAGGATTTTGACTTGATTCAATAACCTTTTTTCTTCCTGGCCTTAAGTGTATTGTTCATGGAGTACATAGTACAAACAAAATTACTGCCTTAAAAGTAAATAACATCCTTAAATTCTGTATCATATCAGAAAAAGATCATTAAGTATTTTTAAATTTTGCTTTCTACATGTACTACTTGCTCAAATATATGTTTTATACATTATTTTATATGCACATTAGGCTTACTATTTTTGTAAGTTGTGCAAAACCATTTATGGGTTCAGGCTGTTGATCTTGTGATTGAGTACTTAGACTAATTTTTGTGTCAGTCAATTAACTAACCTTTGCTTGTAGTGCTTTTCCTTTTAAAAAAGGTATTTCTAGTAACTCAGGAAAATAGTATCAATCACATGGACTTATTTGCTGTGACAAGTTTTAGTAGTCACCTACTTTTTGGGTGGAAAAAAGTTATTGAAGTGTTTCTAGTACTTGTATCCATTGCTGTGTAATGTTTACCTTTTATTGTTGCTTCCATTTTTCTTTGGGGGAGAGTGGGATTTGGGAAGGGGTAGGGAACCAAAGAAACAAAACAGGATTGTAGATTTAAAATAAAAATCCATTTCCTGTCCCAGCACCCATTTTCTTGCACATTATATGGAATTAAAAAGTATTCACACAGTTTGATAAAAATATGTCAAATATTTGGCCCTTTAAAAAAAAGCACACAACTGTCTAGCTAAATAATTTTAAAATTAGTATTTTATAATCATAGAGTCTCTGTATTATCATATTTTTTTGAATGTAAGCATTTCTGTTCTTTTTTTCTAGCTGGTGACTGCAAAGATGCCAGTGAAACAGAATAAGCATGCTTTGCTCATGACTGTTTCCTCACTGCTCTTCCAATATGACTTTTGATATGCATTCATTTTTTTAGAGCTTGTCTGTCTTCCTCCCCATCCCTCTCGCCTTTGTTCAGCTTTTAAAATGCTCTTCAGTGAATATCTTACAGTGCATGGTAATTCTATTTAAAGATACCTGAAGTAAGTTCCTACAGGCGAAAATAAAACTGTCTTGGGTAGAAATAGTGAGTTTTGACAGTTTAGAGGTGCAAAGGAAGGAGAGGAAGTACCCATAAAGAATGAAGTTGGAAGCTGAATCAAGATTTTGGCTTTTGTTTCTGAAGGCCAGAAGTATCTGCTTGTTCTTAACCTGTAATAGAAAGCTCTGTTGTCCAAATTCAGCTTTTGCACAGAATTTTAAGTATTGATTTGTGGCTTCCAACACTGTGCAGTCTCTGCCCAAGAAGATGGAAGGAATGAGTTAAAAATGTGTAATTTTTTTTTTTTCCTTTAAGGTGGAAGAGATGGTACAAAACCATATGACATACTCCTTGCAAGATGTAGGAGGAGATGCCAATTGGCAGCTAGTGGTAGAAGAAGGAGAAATGAAGGTAAACATTTGGGGTTTTGTTTAACTGATAGAAGATGATACCCTGTGAAGATGGATACTTTCAGTCTGGCAGACTTGGCAGTGTTAGATTTACGGTGGGACGCGATGATCTTAAGAGTCTTTTCCAACGTAAATAATTCTATGATTTTCTGGGAATACTATCACTCAGCAAGTTATGCTGTTGAAACTTCTCTCTGAGAATAGCATTGTTTAAGTTAGGACTGGAGTCCACAAGAGCTCTGGCTTCTAATATATTTCTTCATACAAAATCCTGTGTAACTCTTGTAATAGCTTTGTCTTCACAGATTCCTTTCTTATTCTCTCCTACTTTAAAATTTGATATCAAAATGATGTGTAAAACAAATGTTACAGAGTAGCAAGTTACTGTGTTGGCTGCTGTACTGCTGTATTGTGCTTGTATGGATCCGTATGCATAGTGATAAATAAGGTAGCTTAATCGTTTTTGGAGACTGGTATTTTAACGTGGACTGCCATGTTAAGAATATTTGCATTGGTAGTTACCAGAGAACACTGACATGGCAAATGATCCATGTGTTATTTTTCTAGGTAAGTGTTTTTTAAAAACTTCATGAAATTTTAAACAATTAAACACGAACAGTTTTGACAATTTCTGTTCTACATTTCTTTCTTTCTATTTGGCTATAGGTATACAGAAGAGAGGTAGAAGAGAATGGAATAGTGTTAGATCCTTTGAAAGCAACCCACGCTGTTAAAGGGGTAACAGGGCATGAAGTTTGCCACTACTTCTGGAATGTTGATGTTCGTAATGACTGGGAAAGTAAGGAATTGGTTCTTAAGCTTTGCATGTATACCAGCAAGGATATTGTTTAGAACATTGACCTAATGTGCTTGTTTACTGATGGATTTTTTTTCCCCCCCTCATCTTTTAGCAACAATTGAAAATTTCCATGTTGTGGAAAATTTAGCTGATAATGCAATCATCATTTACCAGACACATAAGGTAATAACACTTCAGCTGTATGCATACCTTACTGAGACAGTCTGGGGCATATGTGTTCTAATCTTATTCTGAATACTTTAATGGCTTAACAACTTAAAATACTGTTCAAAACAACAGTTCAGAACAAGTTCTCTATTAAGCTGCAACTTTGTCAATTTTTCAAACTTGTCTTGATAGCATAATTGGATGTGCATGTGTCTGATAGAGCTTGTAACAACAAATGAGGACTGTTTTTAATCTCTAAATATGCCAGCAAGGCAATGGTCATCTAAAGCAAACTGAAGCAATAAATCAACACTGACTGCAAGGAAGAAACCTATACCACTGTATCATATATTTTGTTGCAATAATGCAAGCTATTGTTGACCACAAGTAGTTGACGTACACATTTGCATTTTGAGGTGATATAATTGCTGGTACAATATTTGATTTTGTAACTTCATTATGTTTCCCTCCCCCCCAATCAATTCTGGTGTAAATTTACTAAAATGTTCATCTGAATTATAGCCCAACAACTGTAACTTAAAGGTTCAAAAAATGGGACTGAAGTGTGCAGATTCATTTTTAATCTTGCATGATTCCAACTAGTAGTATACTCAAATATTAAACCAAGTACTTTTCTTTGACAATTTTACACCAGTAATGCAGTTACCTTAAAACTTCTGTAACAGAGGACTCATGATTTTGAGTAAGACAGTTGTGTAAACTGTATAGTGTTGTGGTAGAAGCTAGGCTTTTTTCCCCTATTGAGTGTCAGGAAAATGGCTTTTGTGTATTTTCTTTATCAGACATTTTGCTTCTGAAACTTTCTCTTAGATAATATCAGTTTACCCTATCTGTCTTACTGAAGTAGTAGCTTTTTGAAATAATATTTGTTTTAAATATTTCTCCCCTTCTCTCTGAAGGCATAAGTAACTGTAGATGCATCTATTTATACTTATCATAGAATCATAGAATGGTTTGAGTTGGAAGGGACCTTAAAAATCATCTAGTTCCAACCCCCCTGGAACGGGCAGGGACACCCTCCACTAGACCAGGTTGCCCAAAGCCCCATCCAACCTGGCCTTGAGCACTTACTTAATCACTAGTTCAGTTTGTAACTTACAAGTATTGACTAAAATGTAAACCTGAGGTTGAGGAAACAGGCGGGGAACTGCCTCTTCCTGTTCGTCTACTGAAAAAGTCATTGCTGCTTGGCTTTCTGCATTTCAAAGGCCTTAAACTTTTGCCTTACGTTTTTTAAAATGGAGCATAGTCTTATAACCTGATACATATCTGTACAACAGCTATGTTCTGTTTCAGTTTTGAAAAGTTACTAACCTGAAGAAACTTTTACTTAAGTAACATGACTGACCTGGTTTGCCTTGCTTGCTTTTTTCCTTTCTGTGAGGATAGTAAGTACTTAATTTGCAAAACTGGAAAAGCTTATATTCAGGTGTTTCTCTGCAGAGGGTGTGGCCAGCTTCTCAAAGGGATGTCCTCTATTTGTCTGCCATCAGAAAGATACCAGCATTCAGTGAAAATGATCCGGAAACATGGATTGTGTGCAATTTCTCTGTGGAACATGACAGTGCTCCTGTAAGTATTAGTTGCATTCTATCAAGTTCTGCTTTTAAGATAACATTTTCCTGTTATATGGTAGTGCATGTGCAGTACTAGAGTAAGGGAGATTGGGGGGGGGGGGGGTATGCAAAAATATGGTTTATTTAAACCAGGTGATACAATGACCTGATGAAGGCATTCTGAGCCAAAAGCTTTCTTGCCTTATCTCAACAGTTGGCAGATCTATGGTGTTGCAGCAGAATGGAAGCAGAATTTCTGGAGATGTGAAACCTTTTTAAAGAATTGAGGTTATACTCTTTGGTATTGTCAGATATAGGAGTAGGCTTGTATAAATCTAGATATGGTATCTGTTAAAGCTCCATCTTACATAGTTCCGCAATGATTGTTTTCTCTGGAGTATTTCTGTTCTGATTGCTATGCCATAGCCTGCTTACAAGGGAGTAGTTGCTAACAGATATTTGTAAGTTCCGATACATTATTCTTTAAATGTTTCTTTACTCATTTGTCACAATAATTGAAGTAATTCACTTGTAATATTTATTAAGCAAGCAGAAACCTGAGATTCAGGCATTTTAGTTTAACCCTTTCCCTATTCACCATGTACCTTTCATTTCACTCAGATGCATGTTATATCCACGCAATGCTAGAATGCAAACTCTCAGCAACACAGCTTCTGGAGTGTCTTAGACTTCATAGTAAATTAAAATGTTAGCAGTCAAGTGTGCTGAAACAAATTTAGTTTGAGGCTTACAAGTGTTTCATTTTTTTGGCAGCTGAACAATCGCTGTGTCCGTGCCAAAATAAATATTGCTATGATTTGTCAGACTTTAGTAAGCCCACCAGAGGGGAACAAGGAAATAAGCAGAGACAACATCCTATGCAAGATTACATATGTAGCTAATGGTAAGTCTAAAAGTTTTTGGTATGACATTCATGATCACTGCTAATTCTGGGGAGCTGAATACTGGCAAAAAAAGCTTGATGCTGTTTCCTGTTAAATTTATATATAGCACCACACTTGTGGTCTTCATTTTCAAAAAGATTGATTCATGCGCTATGTGAGTCAGTGAATGGGATCATTCCTCATGTGGCATTTTGAGAGGATTAAGTATGTGTAGCTCAGTCCTAAGTACAGAACCTTGGAGTGCAGGAGGCAGAAGAAATGTTTGCAACTGGGATGACTTGGCATAGCTTTTTATTTCAGCACTACTGTGTTTTTTTCCTGTATTGCTATAATGTGTTTTTTTTCTCCCCCGATTCATCTTGTTAGGCTGAAAAGCTGCTGATAGTAAAGATACAGTTCTTACCCTCAGTGTTATGAAGGAGCAAATACATTTTGTATGAGGATGTTTACAAGCTGTATAATCTAGCCTACAGTATTTTATTTTTTTTTAAACTGATAGAATCCTTGGTATTGGCTGAAAATTTATCAAAGCCAAACTGTATTGTTACTGTACCTAGTATTTTGCAGTATAGTGTAGTATTGGAGCTACATACTTATTAGCTCCTCTCCTGCAACTACAAAACACTTCAAGAGTAGCTCGCCTGCTTATTACTTCTAACCACCTACTACATGGCTTACTAAGAGTCAAAGTCTGAAAAATTGATTCAGTAAATCTTTGCTGTATAGGAGTGACGTAATTTGTATTAAACCCTGTACAAATACTATATGGTGTTAAACTCTGGGGTAAGCTGCTGTGTTTTCCTTGTCAGAAGTTTCCCAATTACATAAAAAAATACATTTTCATTAATAAATTCTGAGCTATGATTATATGGGAAGTGGCAACTTTTTTAGCCCTATGAACCAAAGCATATTTTAGAATTAGTTTGAATTTTGTTTGAAGTGCTTTAAAAATAATTTGTAGGACATTGGCTATTTAGCAAGTCTGCAGACAAATGCAGCAGTTATTGAAAGGTTAAGACTGACTTCTGTTTTCTTTGAAGTAAGAAGTAACTCAAATGTCTTTTTCTGTTGTTTCCTGGAAGTCCTTAGAGAATATAATCTTCCATTTGGGCATTCCCCAAAGACTCACAACACAACATCAAATGTGTTTTCTAAATAGTGGCATCATAGAACTGGACTGAGCTTGAGTATTAAGAGTAGAAAGTGCTACAATAGAGGCTGTAAGGCCATTAAAAAAATCTGCTGATCAATATTCTTTCCTGTTACTTCAGAAGGAGTTGCAGGAGTACCGAGTTTTCTTTTCTAGCCTTTAGCTGATTTGTTCTATTTCAATGTCTACTTCTAGTGAACCCAGGAGGATGGGCGCCAGCATCAGTGTTACGGGCGGTGGCAAAACGAGAATATCCAAAATTCTTGAAGCGTTTTACGTCATACGTGCAAGAGAAAACAGCAGGAAAGCCTATTTTATTCTAGTATTAGCAGGTATACATTCTTTTTTTTTTTGTTCTTAATTCACTTAATTTACTTAATTCACTGCAAACAGAAATATGCAATCTATAAATGTCTTACCATGATTAGCATGAATTCAGTGCTTAGTTTTAACGTGTGAATGCAATATACTTTGTAAAGCATTCATGTAATTCATTTGTATTATTAGCATGAAGAATGAGGGCTGCACCAGTTATCAAGTATTAGTTTTTGTAGACTTTTGCTAGTTTATCTTGCAATTTTTTTCATACATGTCTAATTTATGTAAAAGTATAGAAGGATGAAGTATTGTTTTTTCTTGCTATCACAGGCATTTTACACTTGCTCTGAAAAGAAGCATACATACTGAAGTTTCTCTAGAGCCTCTTGAGGTTTTGATGTCTTAAATTCTCCTTATAATTGCATATTTGATAGAATATTATGAAGGTCAAAGTAGTCTTTTCTATTGACGGAATAGTTTTGATCTAGGATTTTTATGAATGGAACTTTTCTGACAGTCCAGTGTCCGTTATTGGAGTATCTAAAAGGCTGTGACTGAAATTTTTAGCCTTTCTGATGAGCCTACGGAAGAAAAGGGATTTGCAGATGTCTGCTGAAGTCAATGGATGTATTTTAATGGTATAGGTCACTGGGCTAATACAAAATTGTTTTAATGTATAAATGATGATATGACACTAGAAGATGATTTCTTGATCACTTTGGGGGCTGTCTGAATCTGTCAGACATAAGCCTTAGTGCTAAGTAAGGCTTTGCTTAATTTTTGTTAGTGTTGACTCTTGCTATGTACTTCATTGTGTATAACTATAGTGTCAAACCATTGAATTCCATTTGGTAGTTCCAGTATTACAGTGTGATCTGAAAATTAGTTTTATCACTTTTTCTATGAATGACATATGCTACCTCTACTTTTGGGTTCTATTTATTACATCAGACTCCCAAAGTCTTAGTCATTTGATCCTTCTGTAACAGGTAGCCCTGTAATGACTCACATTTTTAATTGCATATTGTTAGAGAACTAGTGTAGGTGAACCATTAAAAACGCAGCTGTCATGAGCCAACAGTTCAAATGTGATCACAGCAGTGCTGATAGTATTTAAGGTGTTTAACAAGTTTTTGTTTTTCTGTTAGTGTTCAAACTTTTCAGTGCTGTATTTTTGTCTTTCCTTACCTGCAGCAATCGGAACAAGACTGGGTGAGCATTCCACGTGGGAGAAGTGACCATGCATAGAGCACTCCATGTTGGAACGAAGGATCTACAGTCTTTTTATGGCCCAAGTTCTAGGCTTTGTATACTGAAGTGAAGAAGTGTTGCAACACCATGAGGCTGAATATTTAACACTAGCTCTCTCCTGCTAACTTCTCTTGCTGAATCAGTGTGTAATTATAAATACATGTATTGATAACATGTAGATGGCTCTATTTTTATTTGCTTGCTTTAGAAGAGGAAGAATGCCTACAACTTGGAATCACCAATGTGGGTTACTGATTTAATTTTAAACAAGTTGCAGAATTTCACTGTCAACCTTCCTAAGATACTAGTGCAGTTTTTGTGCATGTCTAAAAAGCACAAAAGACAAACGCATATATAGGATACTGTATGTGCTTTATATGCACAGAAATCTATGTGGTATTTTGGGGGAGAGAGTGACTTCAGTAAAGCCTAGGTGACTTATTGGCAGGTTTTGTTTTGCTTTGTAGAATCATAGTTCATTGCTGCTGGTTTCTATAACAAATCATCTTGTTACATAAAATGTCCATTAATAACTGAGGGCTGTTGATATCCTTATGACTTTGCCTTTTCTATTGTCTTACTCTTATGATGATCTTTGGTTCAGAAGGAGTAAGAGTGTGAAAAGCTTTATTTTTTTCCAGATATCTTTATATTTCTATTGTATTTTTAGTTATGTAATATGTGCTACAGAATTTTTGTTATTAAACATGATCTAGAACTGTCTAGCAAGATTCTGTATGAGAGGGCAAGAGACTGCCTGAAAGCTAGAAGTCATCTGTCCATGCTATATGTGGACTGCTTTCTTGCATGATATCCAGGGCTTTCCCAAAGCTGTGAAAAGGTACACTATAATATATATTGAAGTAATTTGGACTACATAAGACAACATTCCCAGTCTAGAATGAGTACGTTATTTTCAGATCCTGCACGTGTTTTCCTCATCTTAATAAAACCATGCTGTGAGGTTCATGTAGAAAATTATTTGCCTCTTGATCAAAAACCCATCAGAGCTGTAAGGATGCGTAGTTCTTATTGGAAAGTTCCCTTTAGTTGCTGTGAGAATTTACATGTCAGATATTTGCCTGCCTTTGATTCTGGAGATGCTTATTAGGAGAGGACTGTGGCAGACTGGTACTGACTTTGAGGTCTTTTATCCATGTCCCATGGTTGGAAACTCTTCAGAGACTGCTCAGTGTTTCACTAACTTGTGTATCTCAAGAAAAAACTTTCAGATATATTTTTGTCAAAAGAAAGCTGGAAGTCTTATTTGATATAGTATGGTAGGTGCCTGAAAATAAACATAATATAGTAACTTAATGAAGATTTGGTAAATGATTAAATGTGATCTGCACAGTGTAGAAAAACGTTATCTGTTCATCTTCTCTGTACAGATGAAGTCGTACATAACACATGATTACACATGCATGCGGAGTTCATGCTTCATATCTCTTCCCTTTTTATTTGCCTTTCTCTAATGGTGTGCATGGAATATGCCTTATTACAGAGTTATTCTGTTAATTTGAATATGTAGAAAAGTGCCTATATGGTAATGCTAGTAAGGCAAATAAGATGAAAATTTGTACATGTTTACCGTATCACCAGTGAGCATTTTATATAGCGATGTTAAAAAAAATATCTTATATCTCAAATGTACTTCCATCTTTTTACAATCAACCAAGTAATGGTTCATTCCACCATAGCCACTGATGGGAACTTTAAAAAAAAATCCAAAATATAAAGAGTTTAACTCCATATTTGCCATTTCTAGTAATTGTTGGAACACAGGTGAGTTTATTAATTTAATTGGATAGCTTTATTTTACAAAGGTATGGAAAGTTTACAGAGCAGTATATAAACTTATATCATTAGTTGCATTTGCACTAAATGTGATGTACTTTTGCAATTTATTCTGTAAATAAAATGACACTACAGATACTATTTGTAAAGAATACATTTTACTTTTAGGTAAAGGCACTGGTACTTCACTATAGCTAGCCCTGCCCAATCAGAGTTGGAAGAACCTTCTTAAAGAATACGGAAGAGGTTGCAAGATCGAGAAATCAGTGTTAATTCGTATCTTTAAAAACAAATGAGAAAAAGGCAGTTGTCTGTAGGCCTTTCACATTGTCCATGCGCAAGTAGCCATTAGATCCATCCTTCTGGAAAGGATCTTGGTTTTATGGTTTTATAAGACTTGCCCTGTCTCTTGAGCCCATCCCTCTTTTCCGTCACGGCCACATATCTGTGTGCACTTGAGTTCACTTCTTCGTGTTAATGGATCGGTAGTATTTATACAGCTGTGGTGGTCTTTGCAGAAGCAGCTCCTGAATCTAGAATGGATGCCTTTATAAGCTGAACCAATATGAAGGGTTGAGAATGCAGCAGTCTTCTCCATCAAATGTCATTCTCTGGATATCTGCGTCCATTGGAGAATTTGGATGTTGCCAAGCTAGATCTGAAGGAAATGACTTGATAGAACTTGTATTGGGAATGAGGATGAGATGGGCATTTTTACCCTAAGTACCCGAACATCTGATTTTGACAAATTTATCTGTGAAAAATGTGATGCACTTTGAAAAACAAATTAACTTTTACTTAATTGGGCTGAGCTGGCTTATATGAAGCTGTGCAGATTCTCTATAATCAGATTGTCCACCTGTATTTTTGTCAAGTTGTACAGATAACACTGTATTTGACTCGCCACTGTTCATCTGCAGACTTAAAACAGGAATCATATTTTTGAGTACCTTGAGTGTGTAGAGTGTAACTGTTCTATAATAGCTTTATGATCCTCATGATAAGTTTTAAAAATGAAAAGAAGTTGGCTCTTCCATGTTACAATCACAAATTTAAAAACAGTATTTAAAAGTGAAAAGTATTAAAAAATATGAAGAAAAATCCTGGTTTGTAGTTATTTTTAACTTTCAGTGCTTTGGAGAAACTTGTTTAAATCATTTTACCTTTTAACCAACTTTTAGATCATGGATAAAGTTATATACAATATTATAATGTATGGAGAACATTTAACAGGAAAGCAGTTTGCTTGAATTACTGAGGTTACTGAGGTGAAAACTTGAATGCCACATTAGTCTGTATATCAAAAAGCTCATTCTGTGCTAGCATATCAGACACATGTTAAAAGATGTTCCTGTACAGTATAGTCTTAATATAGAGCACTTCCAAAGCATTTCAGCTCTTGTCTTCGCTTGTACAGAATTAACATTACGGAAGTTTCCATGGGAAGAATAGAGACCCAGGACTGAGGAGTGCCAGAGGATAAACTTGTGGCTTTTTCTAAAGTATGAAGAATTTTTAAGAACTGAGATAAGCTTCTGCAGAGCAAGCTTTCTTAATAGCAGAACTAGCTGGTGCCTAATCCTACCTTTATTTTTTATGCAGGGATTTCTACTTTTTATATGGTAATCAATAAATTTGTAGAAACCTTAAAAGCATGCAAGACTGGAGGAACAGTTTGAAATAACAGGAGGCATTACTTGCACAGAAAAAAATACTTAAACTCAGTTGCATCAGGCCTCGGGTAAGCAGAGTATTGCAACAGAGTCCTGAGGTAAGCCTTGCCCTTGAAGAATGCAGCTGTGGTAGCTGGCAAAAAGAAATCTCCCAAAATAAAAATAACAGTCACATTCTTGGTCCCGTAAGTTATGCGTGTAAGTTAAAAACCACGCACTTTTCAGTATGGAGAGGTTGAGCATTTCTGTAGCTGTCTGTAAAACCACAATGTAATTTGACCCTAGATATAAAGAATCATAATTGGAGTTACGCCACACAATTTAGCAGTGTGTATTACTTATAGTGTTGCTATTGTCTTTAGTCTCCAGCTATAAAAGCTGAATTTCATAGGAGGAGAAAAGTGTATTTCAAAAAAAGGGATACACTTTGAGCATTATGTGCCTGAAAGTGTCCATTTTTCTTCAGCTGTAACCACTGATGCAGTAAGCTTTTTTTTCCTCTGCACACCTTGCCTCTTCTGTGCATAGGCTACAGCTAAAATAAGGAAAGCTGGTAATGTGAGTTGCTGCAATTCTTAAGGTTTAAACTAATTATCCTTAAAAAGAGCTATTTTAAATGATCATTTTTATTTTTGAGAACTTAGACCAAGCAATAGTCTGATGTCACCTAAAGCATAAAAACTTCAACTAGGAACTTCACATTCAGTCTCCTCTTGCTTGAGCGGGCCTGCCTGAAATTCCATGTGGGATTTTTCTCAAGCCATGGATCGTGGAAGTCTGTGCCAAACAATTACTGGACGGCGTTACAGTGGTAGGATACGACAACAGCCCTGAGGCTTCCCATTCCCACCTGCCAGGGTGGGACTGCAACCGAATCATGGAGCAACCCGGCAGGTTCAGTACAGGCAGAGCTGGGGGACCCACCCCTGGCCCCCTGGGACGTTATGCAGTATGGAAGAATTCCAGACCAGAGGCCCAGGATAGTGTGGTGTCAGCTGAGGGTGGGTCATGCCTGAGTACAAACAAAAGAATTGTAGGTATGTCTGTACCCTGCAGAAAGTATTTCCTGTCTAGGGAATGAGCAAACACATGCGTCACCTCCTAGCTTGTAGCATGTTGGAAGTCATTGCTATGTAGTCACTGAATGGTCTTCTATAGCACCCAGTGTTCAAGTCCGCAGTTGTCCTCATGTCCCCGTATGCAGAGCCTGCATCAGTGGAACACCTGAGACACTTCACTCGGTGAGCACTTAGCCAGTTGTCATGGCTTATCTTGTCCAAACTCCAGTGTTGAAAATGTAGCCATTAACCTGAAAAGCTTTTTTTAAACTTTTTGTGGGAGTGGTCTTTGCCTTGAGTTATTACATAGGATTGTGTGGTACTACAGGGTGGCACTGTCTCTGACAGAGGTTGGTACATTTTAGTAATGGGTAAAATGGTTGCCTTCTCTAAAGAACGTGAGACATTTAAATAAGCTTCTTTATCTTTGTTTTTCCCAACCTTTTTTTGTTTGAACTGTATTTGAAAACTCTCAAACCTAACTCAAATGTCACTAAAATATAGGGATGGTAAGGAACCATCCCACTAACCAGAGCAGTGCTAAGCAAAATCATCACTAAATTAGCAGCTGTATGATGCTCTAATTGTTTAGTGTCAAATTTTCCATACTGCTGTCAGGTGTGAGAAGTCTAATAATAAAAAACCCCACGTAATTTACTGCTTTCTCATTAACTAAGACTGCCATACCCATCTTTGGTGAAAAAGATGGAACAGCATTAAAAGATTTTAAAACCTCTTGCAATACTGCTAAATTGTTTTCCAATTCCAACTGTAGTTATATCAGAAACAGTTCCACTACGAAGTGTCTTGTGTCCTGGCTGTTCCTGTTACATATGCTCTACTATTCTCTTGTAAACTGGTGTACACTTACTCTTTCATACTGTGTAGTTCCTCATTTACGCTTGTGTTAAACACCTCCTCCTGCATTAAAGGATATTAATTTCATGTATTACTTAAAAAAACTGGATGACTAGGTAGGATATACAACTGGTGCTTAAAAAAAAAAAAAACCCAAAAAATGAAACAAGCAGCACCAGGATGTTGGGTACACAGAAAAATGAATTCCAGGAAGTCAGACGTTT